GTGTGTGTGTGAGAGAGAGAGAGAGAGAGAGAGAGAGAGAGAGAGAGAGAGAGAGAGGGTACTTCCATCCATAGGATGAGCAAAGTCGAATGAGCCACCGCTTGAACATGGAAATATACACTTTGTTTTTTTTAATTATTTTCTTTGGTGTTTGTGTGCGAAAACTTAGCAACTGCGGGGCATTTTGCAAAGTTGGGCAGTGTCCGGTAGGGGTGCATTGCAAAGATCGGATCCAACTCATGGTGGGGGTGTTTCGCAAAATGTTTTGTTATCATTGTTGCCTCTGCTGCAGGTCCGCTTGTTAAACTACACTATGTTCGTCTCTCAATTTTGTTTTGACTTTTACTACCTTCCTACCACTACTCCTCAGACTATATAGAGGGGACCCCTGCAAGCATAGGGCCTCGCAAACAGGGAAAATCATGTTGCCCCCTGCCCCAACAACGGTTGTCAGAGATGGGGTGGGGCCGCCGGTGGGGGTCCGGCTAAGGCAAAGACCAAGCATTTTGCCAGTAGTTGCGCCTTGCTTTCTCATCGTCCCCCACCCCTCATCGAGTAGCAGCGGAGGCTATGGCCAACACTCTCCCACACACCACACGCTCTCACTCACATTCGTGTTGGTCATAGACCCCGCAAATACCAATCAGGGGTATCCAGAGGACTATCACAGTCCGTTGGCACTAAATTTGCCGCATCCTGTCACGGGGCTTGAACCCACAACGTCCGTGAATCCCACTTGCGTGCCTAACCAACTGAGCTTTTCTTTATTTTTTTCCATAATTCCGTTTTCGCTTCATTTTTTTGTGCCCACTGACCGTTTCCCTTCGACCCTCGTCCTTGCCTGACTTCTGTACCTTCAGCCCTGGTGCTTGTCGTCAAATTTAGTGCTACAGTAAAGGCCCAATGGAGTGGTGGTATAGTGCTAACTTTAATATATTTATGCGGACATTGGGGAGCGACATGTGATGGGTACCAGGCCCAGCGTCCCATGTGAATCTGAGCAAACATCGAGATCCGTGTTGTCAGACGGGAATCCCCGGGGCCTAGCCGGAGTGGGGGTTTGACCCCGAACCCCCGACGCGGGGATCCCTGACCCCCACCCCCGCCCTTCACCCCTGCCCTCGCCCTTCAACCCCGCCCCTGCCCCAACCCC